GCTTTTTTTTTTTTTTTTTTTTTTTTGGCTTTTTGTTTTTTTCCTTTTTGTGGAGAACAGGGTCTTGCTATGTTGCCCAGGCAGGTCTCAAACTCCTGGGCTCAAGCTATCCTCCTGCCTCTGCCTCCCTGAGAGCTGGGATTACAGGCGTGAGCCACAGTGCCTGGTCAAATTTGTTTAAATTTAAAAAACAAACAAACAAAAACACAGATGTGTTGTCCTTCATGGTTCCCCCCCCCCGGCTGCCAAGTGCTGCTACTCCTCAGGAGTTTCCTTTAAGACCTGGCAAGACCCCAGCAGACGTTACTCAACTTTGGGCCTTCTTAGGATCAGGAAAGGGGAAACCACTCAAGACATCTAGTCTCTTACGTCCTTACCCATGAGAGATCTTCAATGCAAGACAGATTGAAACAGCTAAAATCGTGATTAAGAAGAAGGTAACTGTAGTGTTTGTTACTGAATAATTTATCTGCATAGAGATGTAAATGCCCTTCCAGTTTGCTACCAAGGTTAGCTGAAAGAACCTGCCTCATTCTGGACTCTTCGCCTGGCCAGTTTTGACTTTTTCTATAGAGGTATAGTGAAGCATAAAAATCAGGTGGCAGAAGGCTGCCCCTTGGCAGACCTTGCTGTAAAAGGGATTATGTACATGTTTCTTGCTACAGTTTCTTGAAGTAGAGTAGGTGCTTCCCTCTGAGATACAATAAAAACTGTATCTATGTCTCTAATTTTTATAAATGTCATACTTGTATTTAAGATTTAAATGGTATCAGGAGGAAATTATGAAAAATTTGACATAAAAATGGTACAGTTGAGAATTTACTCTTTATCTTCGTGTGTGTTTGTTGCTTTCTACATAAAGCTCCTGCTGGAACACCAGGATGCAATTGCCACTGAAAAAAATGACTTACTAAGTGAATTGCTGGGGTCTCTGGGAGAGGTGCCAACCGTGGAATCTTTTCTTGGTAAGAGCTTGTTCCTTCTACTTATCACTTGGTTTTTGTTTAATTGGGTTGGTTGGTTGGTTGATTTTCCTATGCTAGATAAAACAATTTCTTTTGGAATTTAATGCTTAAACATAAATAACAACTACACTTGCCCCTTCCTACAGTAAGAGTTCTGTAATTGATAGCATCCGAGATTGTAAAATAATTCAATATTCTTGAAGGTAAGCTCCAGATATGTGAAAAAGAAATTGTCAACCTGTATTATACAGAAAGAAAGCATCATTAAAGAACCAAATTTATTAGAAAATGAGAAATACTTTTATTAAGTTATCCCTTTTAGTAATTTGTTTGTATTTGAAATATATGTCCCATGTCATTTTAATTTTTCAGTAAAATATTTTAAAAAGCCCCTTTAGCTGTAGTAGAATGTGGGTTTTATGAAGATCATGATCTCCCATTTAATTACTGAGCTTTTCCCACAGAACCTTTGTCTTACATTGTTGGTGTCGTCATCACAACGAGTAAATTGGAAAAAATAACGCAACTTTTTTTTTCCCCTACAGGGGAAGGAGCAGTTGACCCCAATGACCCTAACAAGGCAAATACACTAAGTCAGCTCTCAAAGACCGAGATTTCTCTTGTCTTGACAAGCAAATATGACATAGAGGACGGCGAGGCTATAGATAGCCGAAGCCTCATGATAAAGTAAGTTTGGGGGTTAAACGGCACATGTCTCCAAATACACATCTTAAACCATGCAAATTCAAAGAAGGCTAAATCCAAACTAATTTATTTACAAGTATGTGAACATTTAAATATATTATGTATATCCATCAAACATCTAACCAAAGGATAATAGACTCTTTAGGAAGGAATTAAATGTTATAATAGTTACAACACCTTCCTTGGGTTTTAGTTTTCCACGTAATAATTTGATTGCTTTCCTTTGAGAAGTGGTTAACTCAGCTTATGCAAGCTCTTTGGTAAATGAAGGGAAATATATATTACAAAGTGGCCAGTTGATAAGTGAAGAAGTTCAGTTAAACAACATTAATTTCCAGTATAAAATCATAATGTAAAAAGGCTTACCTGTGATAAGACATTATAATAGCATCTGGTTTACTGGCCTTCCTTCCTATTAAACTGAGCCTGGATATGTTTACCAGCTTTGACTTTATTTGTACCCTATTTCCTGCCACCAAAGATTTCAAGTGAAGTATTCACACTTCAATAATACTATCTTTTCTCCATCAAAGCACCAGTGGTATTCCACACAGAGTAGGAAAGAGAATGAGATTCGTGATACAACGCCATAAATCAAAAACACACGCTGAAAGCAATGCAGTTTTCAATTTATACAAACTCGAGAATGCATATCGGTACATTAGAACAGTTATATATTGGGGTGAGACGCAGACTGGAAGTGGAAAAATGAGGACAAAAGGGAACAAGTACGTGTCGAAACAATACTTCACATATTACTTCCAAGCTACCTGTCCTGAGTTCAGAGGTTGTTTTTATTTGTGGCAAGAGCTTTCTCTCCTGCCACGGATGTGCTAAAGCGTGCTTGAAGTGTGAATGAAGACGGCATTCATCGCCACTTGATTTTTTTTTTAAGATTCAATCATGTATGAAAACAACAGGAAGAGGTTCTTCAGTGTGCTGTATTGATATGTTCTTCTGTTAGGCTTGTTGATTTTGTCCTTAGATCATCTGAGCCTCCATTTGGTCGTGCAGCAAATGCTTAATTACCTACTCTGTTCATGCACTGGGCTTGAGGCTGGGGATACAGCAGTAAACAAGCCGGTAACAGCCCCTGCCCTACAGGGGTGGAAAGCACAGCTCAACAGTAGGACAGCAACCAAGCTGCAGGACTAGGACTCACCCTTGGCCTCACAAGAGTTGAGTTTGACTGCAGGTTACCAAGGCAGATCAAACTTTCAGGGAGACGGTTCAGGGCAGGGCAAGAGAGAAGAGGGGGGAAAGTCTACTCCCTGGGTTCCTCTGAACAAGTGCCAGTTATAAAGATCACTGGAAATACAGATTGTGTGGCTTTGTCATGTAAATGAAATTAGGCCAAGTATCCAATGATCTCATAAGCTTTGTCCTTTAAAAGTCATGTGAAAAAAATTTTTTCTTAATTAGTTTTGTCTGCTATTTGAACATTATTTTCTTTGCCATCAACTCAAATGTCTGCATGATGCCTGGGAATCACAATTTGGGTAGTTCAAAATTCAAATAATCTGAATATCATGTATATGTATACTTATTCCTAAACACCAGTTTCCATGATACCACAAATTCTAGGAAATCACATTTTAAAGATAAAACCATCAAAGTCAGGCATATCTGGAAGCAATGTGTCTTAGCCTGGGAAACCTGGGACATTGTCCTGTCTGCCTTACCCATTAACCAGCCTCTGCCCTTGTGGGGCTCTCTCCCAGTACCCAGAGTTGAAAACAAACACCTGCTACTTTAATCACCACACTATGTAGAGCCAGCAGAGGGTTTATTTTTTATTGTGGTAAAATACACGTAAAACTTACCATTTTAAAGTGTACGTGCATTTAGTACATTCGCAGTGTGCAACCATCACTGTTGTCTAGTTCCAGAACATTTTTTTTTTTTTTTTTTTGGAGACGGAGTTTCGCTCTTGTTACCCAGGCTGGAGTGCAATGGCGCGATCTCGGCTCACCGCAACCTCCGCCTCCTGGGTTCAGGCAATTCTCCTGCCTCAGCCTCCTGAGTAGCTGAGATTACAGGCACGCGCCACCATGCCCAGCTAATTTTTTGTACTTTTAGTAGAGACGGGGTTTCACCATGTTGACCAGGATGGTCTCGATCTCTTGAGCTCGTGATCCACCCGCCTCGGCCTCCCAATAGTTCCAGAACATTTTTATCAGACGTGAACCCTGTCCCCGTTAAGTAGTCACTCCCCATTTCCCGCTGCTACCCAGCCCCCAGCAACTATTAGTCTACAACTCTTATCTCTTTGAACTTTTGCCTATCTTAGATATTTCATATAAATTGAATCATAATTTGTGATCTTTTGTGTCTGGCTTCTTTTACTTGGTATAAGGTTCAAGGTTCATCCCTGTTGTAGCATCTATCTGTACTTCGTTTCTTTTTATAGCTGAATATAATATTCCATTCTCTGGATATATGACATTTTGTTTATTCACTCATTAGCTGGTCCTTTGGGCTGTTTCCACCTTTTGGCTATTGTAAATAGTGCTGCTGTGTAAATTTGTATACAAGCTTTTTTGTTTGTTTTGTTGTTTTTTGTCTTGTTTTGTTTTTGAGACGGAGCTTCGCTCTTGTTGCCCAGGATGGAGTGCAATGGCGTGATCTCGGCTCACCGCAACCTCCGCCTCTTGGGTTCAAGAGCTTCTCCTGTCTCAGCCTCTCGAGTAGCTGGGATTACAGGCATGCGCCACCACACTCGGCTAATTTTGTATTTTTAGTAGAGATGGGGTTTCTCCATATTGGTCAGTCTGGTTTCAAACTCCCAACCTCAGGTGATCTGCCCATCTCGGCCTCCCAAAGTGCTGGGATTACAGGCATGAGCCACCGCGCCAGGCCACAAGGTTTTGTTTGAACACCTGTTTTCAGTTCTTTTGGGCATATACCTGGGAGGAGAATTGCTGAGTCATATGGTAATTCGGTGTTTTTGAGGAACTGTCAAACTGTTTTCCACAGTGGCTGTACCATTTTACACTCCCCCAGCAAGGTATGAGATTACCAATTTTCCCACATTCTTGCCAACATTTTTTTCTATTTATATATGTATGTATGTACACATGAATGAATGAATGACAGGGTCTCACTCTGTCACCCAGGCTGGAGTGCAGTGGTGCGGTCATAGCTCACTGCAGCCTTGATCTCCCAGGCTCAAGGGATCCTCTCACCTTAACCTCCCCAGTAACTGGGACTACAGGAACCCGCCACCAGACCTGACTATTTATTTTAAATAGAGATGAGGTCTCAACAGGTCACCCAAGCTGGTCTCAAACTCCTGAGCTCAAGTGACCTTCCTGTCTTAGTCACCCAAAGTGCTGGGATTACAGGCGTGAGCCACTGTGCCCAGAACCTGCCCGACTTTTTTTTTTTTTTTAGTAATAGCCATCCTAGTAGGTATGAAGTCATATCTAACTGTGGTTCTGGTTTGTACTTTTCCAATGACCAGTGACATTGCAGATCCTTCCATGTTTGTCACCCCCTTGTCTATGTATGTATTTGTTTTTTTGAGAAATGTCTATTTAAATCCTTTGCCCATTTTAAAATTAGGTTGTTTGTGGTTTTGTTCCTCGGTTTAAAGAGTCATTTATATACTCTGGACACTGAACCCTTATCAAATATATGATTTGTAAATATTTTTGCCCCTTTGTGGGTTGTCTTTTTACCTTCTTGATAATGTCCTTTTCTGCAACAATTTTTGTTATTTTGATGAAGTCCGATTTATCTGTTCTTGTCACTTGTGAGATTTACTCCAGTGTTTTCTTCCAAGGGTCTGTAGTTTTAGCTTTTACAGTTAGAGCTATTAACCCTTTTTAATTCTTGTGGGTGATGTGAGACAGGTGTCCACCTTCATTCTTTTGCATATGGATGTCCAGTTGTCCTAGAACCATTTGTTGAAGAGACTATTCTTTCTCCATGGAATAGTCTAGGCACCCTTGTCAAAAACCAATTGCCCCATGTGTATGGCTTTATTCTGGATTTTCGATTCCACTTCATTCACTTACATCTGTCATTGTGCTAGTGCCATACCGTATTGATCACTGTAGCTTTGTAGTGAGTTTTGAAATAGGGAAGTCCTCCAACTTCTTTCTTCTTTTTCAAGATTGTTTTGGTCTTGCAGTTGAATGGGTCTCTTGCAGTTACATGTGAATTTTAGGATCAACTTTTCTATGTATGTAAAAAAGGCTTAATGCCAGTGTTTTAATAGAGGACCTAAGTCTTCCATGCTCAAAGGCCTTCTTCTGGGCATACTGTGAGATCTTACTGTTGGCCAACTACTTTACTAAGCAGTTCAGTCATCCATGTAGGTTAACAATTTGAAATCAGAACTGACTAGTTAGCCATCCCTGAAAGTGAAATTTGGGTTTTGCCCAAAAGATTCAATAGATTTAAGTGAAATTTGGGTTTTGCCCAAAAGATTCAATAGATTTAGCTCTATGATTTTAGACAAGCCCTACTTCTAAATATATTTCCTTTAAAGTACATATTTGAAAAATCTTGATACTAACAGGTAATTACAAAGTACAGCATTGACAGGAAACTTGAAAACTGAAGAGTCTTCTTTGAGGCAAGGAAACTAAAGTCTAAAAGTACCAGTATCAGTCCTTGGCCTATTAGGAACCAGGCTGCACAGCAGGAGGGGAGCAGGTGAAGTTCATCTGTATTTACAGCTGCTCTCCATCGTTGGCATTAACACCTGAGCTCCACCTCCTTTCAGATCAGTGGCAGCATTAGATTCTCACAGGAGTGCGAACCCTATTGTGAACTGCACATGCAAGGGTTCTAGGTTGCACACTCCTTATGAGAATCTAATGCCTGATGATCTGTCGCTGTCTCCCATCACCCTCAGATCAGACTGTCTAGTTGTAGGAAAACAAGCTCAGGGCTCCCACTTATTCTGTATTATAGTGAGTTATATAATTATTTCATTATATATTACAATGCAATAATAATAGAAATAAAGTACACAATCTATGTAATGCACCTGAATCATCCTCCCGAGACCATCTCCCACCCCCAGTCCATGGAAAAATTGACTTCCACAAAACCAGTCCCTGGTGCCAAAAAGGCTGGGGACCCCTCTTTTAAAATATTGATTAGAACCCTCTGCTGAGAATGATTCTTTTCCAAGCTAATAAACCAAATTTGTACCTCAAGCATAAGATATAGTTCTTGAGATTCATTAGAGAACCAAATCTAACTAAAATCAGACAGACAGTGACTTTTATAAGTTATGAAGTGGACAGGAAATGCAGAGCAATTGGGACAAAAATACCTAGCCTTTCTCTATCAAAAAACTATTCTGCTTTTTTGTTAAACAGATTGTGTTCTTAACTTTCAGAAATGCCCTTATGTTGAATTACAGTGTCACTAGCTTTCCAGTCATGAGTAACTCATCTTCATTGGGTCCCCCACAGTAGCAGAATTTGAGGCATTGTTAATCATTGTGCTTATAAATTTAATTCCGTGCTAGTCTCATAATTCTTACTCATTAGATGAGAATGAAGATGATAATAGCAAACACCAATGTAGTGCTTACCATGGACCAGGGACAGTTTTTATATACTTTGTGTGTGTGTGTGTGTGTGTGTGTGTGTGTGTGTGTGTACGTGTGTGTGTGTGTGTGCATACACAATACCAAATGCAAAGTGCTCCAAAATTCTAAACCTTTTGAGAACTGACAGTGCTCAAAGGAAATGCTCGTTGGAGTGTTTTGAATTTTCGGATTTAGGAAGCTGAACCAGTAAGTATATAATACAAATATTCCAAAATCTGAAAAGATCCAAAATCTGAAACACTTTTGGGCCCAAACATTTTGAAAAAGGGACACACATCTGTAAAGAGAGAAAGAGAATAATGTGTGCATATATATATTAAAATAAATTTATATAAAATACATATGTAATATTCTCAGCAACCCCAAAAGAGTGGAGGTTATTATCAATATTTTACAGATGAGGAAACTAGGCACAGAACAGATATAAACCTTTTCCTGGGTAATGCAGTTACTAAGTGGAGCAGAGATTCAAACCCAAATGATTTTAAACTCCAGGGCCTATACTCTTGATCATAAAGATTTACAATGTGTCAAGGGCAAGGTCATTGTTCTTTGCATTCTTAAGAATCCTAGAATAAATAATGAGATTATAGCCAAGCAGGTACTGAGTAACGGAGGCTGGAGCATCTTTCCAGGCCAAAGAGGAGGGACAAAGGGCACATATTGGAGTCAGAAGAAATATTTGTTTCTCTTTCCCTTGTGTATGTTTATGGAATAGAGAACATCAGTTTGGGCTATTGCTGTTTTTCTAATACTACCAAGCACAGGGATAGTCAAAAAAAAAAAAAAAAGAAAAGAAAACAAGCCTGGTCAAGGAGTCCTGAAGCCTAGTCGAGGAGCCTTAGGATGAAATAGGGTTATAGCCTCAATCTATTGCTTATTAGCCACAGAACTCAGCAAGTTGCCTAGCCATCAGTTTTCTCCTCCATAACATAGAAGAAAAGGGAAAAGAAGGGCTATGATGATCACATGAAATTATGATTAATACCATATAAATTATTTAGAACTATGCAATTGTAAACCTTTCATTTTAACTTATGATTCAATTTAAAATATGTGATCCTTATGGCCTTTATTAAGCTTAGTTTCCCACAAAAGTATGTGCGTTTAAGTAGAAGGCAATATTTGTGGTTTTTAATCATACTTAGCTGCTTGAGTGCTTAAGTTGTCATCTCTTAAGAATTTCCTATCACATGATTAAGTTTAGGTATCCATGATCCCAGCTGAAAGATTTTCTTGCTTTTTGGTCCAAATTAGCAGGAGCACTAAATGGCTAAGGTGGTATTTGAGGTCTGGAGCTAATAATGTAAATTATGCTGTTAAAATTTTAAATATTGAAAATACTCCTTAGCTTCTACAAACACTAATTCCTTTTCAACCTTGGCCACACTATAAGTAGATGACAGAGGGGGAGCCTCAGGAATGCTGCTGGTAATAATAGATGCCATATGAATGGAGTGGCCAAACCCAAGGGGCCACACCAGCTTACAAGTGCCATATGGGCTCATTTATCTACAGTGGGGTTTGAGCACAGCTATGATGAATAAAGTCCCTGGTGTATTTCTTCTTTTTTTTCCTTCATCCTTTTTCAAGATTAGATATCTCCTCATTCGGGAGGGCAAGACCTGTGGTTTGCATCAACCTACCTTACGTATTGTTGGAAGAGCCTTGGCGCCAATGCCCTAAGCAGTTGATTATGCTGGTCAGACCGTATCCAGAATGTTGTATTTGGACTGGGGTGGGAAGGGGGATGCATATTAAGGTCATTGGCAACTGGAATGTGAGCAGGACTGTGAGCTCTCTGCAGATGCCATTGTGAGGAGCTTTAAGGGACTGAGGGGTTCCAGTTGGGAAAAGGAAAGATGGTAGAAGAGAGGATAGAAGGACACAGTCTTAACTTTTCTGTATAGGTTTTTGAGGGGCTGCTGATGTGGAAAGGGAATTGGACCTGTCTCTGCAGCTCTAGTCTCTTAGGTCTTAGTTGCCACATTTGTTCAATCAAGGATTGGATTGTTTTTCAAAGGTCTCCCTCCAGGCCACAGTCCTATGACTAATGAGGCACCATGACTAGGTGTCCCTGGAAGGCAGGCCTCTCAGAGTGAGGTCCTGTTTGTGAGTGGAATGCGCCAATATTGTACTTCCCAAAAGAAATGTAATATGAGCTACATGTAATTTTAGGTTTTCTAGAGCCTCATTTTAAAAGAAATAGATGAAATTAATTCTAGTAATATATTTTATTTAACCCAATATATCCCAAAATATTTCAATATGTAATAAATTTTAAAAATGGATGAGATATTGTACATTCTTTGTTTCATACAACATCCTCAAACTCCAGTGTGTGTCTCACACTCACAGCACATCTCAGTTTGTACTAGCCATGTCTCAAGTGCTTAAGTGCCACCTATGGCCAGTGGCTGCCATCGTGGCCAGCACAGCTTTAATGGCCACGTGAGTGCTTACCATGTGCCAGACCTCACAGAACGCTTTAGATCTTTTCATCCAATCCTTGCATCAGTCCTGAGACATTCCTGTTTTGTAAATGAAAAAAACCAAACCTACAGGGATTATATAACTTTCATAAATCCACACAGCTAATATGTAACAAGAGCCCAAGCCAAGACAGATTTGGCTTTAAATCTGTCCTTCCCCATTGTCCTTAAGCACTAGACGCACTCTAGTGGGAGGGAGGTGAGTTCCCTTTCATGGGACCAGATGGTTACTTATGTCAGAGGTAGAACTTTGGCAATGAATTCCACAGGCCTGGTAGGAAGTAGAAGCCCAAGAGAAGTAGGTGTACAAGCAGTTTGTCCTCCAGCAACTCCTGAGCAAATAAACATTCTTTGTCTTTTGTGGGCATGTTTTAATGACCAGTCATTTGGTTATTACACAGCTCCTCTAAAGAACCAGACGTTCCCTAGAATTGTATATTACAATCAGTTCTGAGAATATTATTTCAAATAAGAAAGCTACTATATTTACGTTTTTTAATCATCCAAAGCTTTTATTTTTAGCTCAGTGTTCCTGTTTACATTGATGATGATGGCTGGAGGAAGGAGGTGTGTAGGAAGGAAGGGATACATGGCTTTCTCAGCCAAGTCACCTTAGGAACTGGGCCATCCCCCACGTGGCTGTAATTAGTGCATTCCCAGACAGCCTGTAAATCCCCAGCAGCAAAGGGTCATGGGGCCAGAGGAAATGGTCCTCCAAAGGCTAGGGGGAAGGGAGGAAAGGAAGACACATTGTGATTATTCTTTTCCCACAGACTTCTGATAAATAGGAAAAGAAAAAAATGATGTTTACAAACGGTTTATTGGATGTTATCCTATTTTCAAAAGTCATATATTTGTAATTAACTTGGAGGGTTTCCTCTATCATTTGGGAGTAGTTGCCCATATGCTTCAAAATGTGAAAATTTGGCCAGGCATGGTGGCTCACGCCTGTAATCCCAGCACTTTGAGAGGCCGAGACGGGCGGATCAATTGAGGTCAGGAGTTTAAGACCAGCCTGGCCAACATGGTGAAACCCCATCTTTGCATGGTGAAAAATACAAAAATTAGCCTGGTGTGGTATGTGCCTATAATCCCAGCTACTCAGGAGGCTGAGGCAGGAGAATCGTTTGAACCCAGGAGTCAGAGGTTGCAGTGAGCCAAGTTCGCACCACTGCATTCCAGCCTGGGTAACAGAGAGAGACTCCATCTAAAAAAAAAAAATTGAAAATTTTATGTTATGCGAACACTTCCTGCTAGAGTTTAGGAAGAAAAATTAGTCATTCAGTGATATCATGCAATTGACTTTGAGAGAACTAAAGTTAAATGCAGTAATGGGACTACAGTAAAAGTGAAACTTTAGACATTGATTAGACCAGTGTATGTGTAATTTAAAGTTCTGTTTGCATTTCCTTTTTTCTTTTCTATTTATTTATTTATGAGACGGAGTCTTACTCTGTCCCCCAGGCTGGAGTGCATGGCAAGATTTCAGCTTACTGCAACTTCTGCCTCCCAGGTTTAAGCAATTCTCACACCTCAGCCTCCTGAGCAGCTGGAATTACAGGCACGTGTCACCATGCCCAGTTAATTTTTGTATTCATAGTAGAGACGGGGTTTCACCATGTTGGCTGGGCTGCTCTGGAACTCCTGACCTCAGGTGATCCACCTGCCTCAGCCTCCCAAAGTTCTGGGATTACAGGAGTGAGCCATCGCACCTGGCCCGTTTTTTCTTTTTAGAAAGAAAGCCATTTCCAATAATACTGTTTCCACCTTATGTAAAAGTGAGCAAACTGGACCATTTAGCTTTTATGTTAAAACCTTTTTACGTAAGTACATAACCTGGTCCCTCACTAGGAAGGGGTGGCCAATTGCCATAAAGAACACCTATGAAAAAAACATATGGTTTTCATACTTTCAGAAGAATTTTCCAGCTCTTTACTGTTTACTGAGAAGCTCTTCTATTCTCTTCCACCTGAAGGTGAGGACCTAACCCTATCTGTAAGTTGCTCAGGCCCTTAAACACCATCCTCCAAGCTGCTATGTCAGCTGACAGCCCAAGCCTCCACAGCCCACGATGGATTTTTGCTCCCACTGGTCTTCAGACTCTTTCATAACTTTCTGATAGCAGGAAAGGTAACAGTTGGTCTGGCTCCTAAAAACTTATGAGGTATGAAACTGGCTCAGAAGTCTAAGTCCCGTAGTAAAGGAGAATATTAGATATCATTCTTGCATTCTGCAATGGCAGGCCATATCAGCAGCACTTGTTCCTCCTGCCCACCAAAAAGTAGTCTCCGTCTAAAAAAGAAGGAAAAGGATTTAAAGAAGAAATCTGTGACACACTTGTGCCCATGATACTGACAGTATAATCCTGCAGCATCAAGCACATACAGCCCAGACTTTGATTATCAAGCATTCATAAACTTTCAGGAGCCTTACAGCAGACCTGCTGAATATCTGCAAGAATGTTTTATTGTAAGATACTGTCCTTGAAGCTTCAGTATTGTATGTGTTTGTGCTCTCTCTTAGGAGAAGCAGATTTTTGTGCCTAAGGACTACTGTCTGAAAGTCTGTCTCTTTCTCTGTTTTGTTAAGGACCAAAAAGCTGATAATTGATGTGATCCGGAACCAGCCTGGGAACACACTGGCAGAAATCTTAGAGACACCAGCAACTGCGCAACAGGTAATTTGTCTTTATGTATAAAATAATTAAATAGACAAGAGTTGGTTTCCTTAATAAATCTTTATGCCAAATGTTTATTATCTCAGAGAAACTGTGTCTGACATGGTCCAGAAGTAAAGAATTTTATTCGTCACTGTCGTGGACTGAGTTCAGCCATATATAAACCTGTATAAAGCATCAATGGGAATGAAAAAGAAAATATGGCACCAAATTCATACCAAATATACTTTTGCCCTTAACTAGGAAGATAGTTTTGGGTTTTTCAAAGCCTGGAAATGTTCATCATAAACTTTATCACATAGTAGATGGGCAAATAAGTCCGTTGAGAGAGTTCTAGCTGACAGGATGTTGAAAAATACCTTTCACTTTTCTTTCTTTTTTTTTTGGTGCTGTTACATAGGCATTTAGTTTATTCTCATCAGTATCACCGATATTCTCATGGTTCACATTTGCCAACGCTGTTCCTCTCCTTACAGTAGTTAAATGTGCCATCTCACTTGGGGGCCCAGGGAGGAGTGAGGGCTCAGCCCAGGGTCAGGAGGGCATTGGCACTTCACATGGACAAGGTGTGTAGCCTGTCCTGTGTGAAAGAGGTGTGGGTGAGTGGGCAGCCAGGGAAGGGGAGTTGGCAGGGGAGGGCCCCACAGTCATTCTTCTCTGGTGGTCAGCAATTCTCCATTCAGATCCTTCCTGGCTGCCTGGGGTGGGAGAGTCATGCAGCTCAGGGCAGGGCAGGGGGGGAAGAGAAAGAAAAAGCAGCAGGCCACCCAGGGGGAGGGGTGGGGATGAATGGCAAGGCAAGTGGGGGACAGAGGTGGCTCCTGGGGTAAAACACAATCCTGTCTTTGGCTCTCCTGGTGAGGAGTTTCCTCCCCTGCACCCCCTGCCTGGCCCTTCTTCCTCCCCCCAACCCCCAGACCCACACACAGTCCCAGGAGCCAGGGGACACCTCCTGGGGTCCCTGAAGCGAATGGACTCTGCCACCCAAGCCAGTGCCACAGGGGCTCAAGGAGGGACACCTGAAAAAAAGGCAGGGGCAGGCAGGGGACTACCCAGGACAAGGGGGTGGGGCAGAGAAGACCCCAGGCCCAGGAGCTGCTCCCCCCCACCACCACCCCAACTAAGGTTTGGAAGTGGAAGCACCTGCTTCCTTTTGGGAGATCTGGCTAGAGCCCTGGCCCGCCCCTCAGCCTCCACTGGGACCAGCCGATTGCCAAGTGACCAGGGCATTATGCTTTGGGCTCAATGCTGGGGTGAGGACCTTTCACATTTTATTTATTTACTAACTTGAAATGAAGAACCATCTCACATGTTAAAGATGTTTTCCAAATGCTTCAGAAGCACATGTTGAGTCCACTGAAGCACACAGCATCATTATGTTAGTGTAAGTAAGGTTTCACAACAATCTTGCCTTTAGCTTTTAATTAACATCTTTGAAAATGTGTCATTGTTCATCCTAAAATATATTCAAGGTTGTTAATTTTAGTACTAATAATTGCCATTCCCGAAACAAAAGTTAATTATTTAATTAATTACTTATTAGCAGAGCTACGTAGAATTTTCCTGGATCATTCTTAATTTAATTGATTGCCAAGGAATCCTTTTAATGGTTTTTAATATAAAAAAGGCTGGGCGCAGTGGCTCACGCCTGTAATCCCAGCACTTTGGGAGGCTGAGGCGGGCAGATCATGAGGTCAAGAGATCGAGACCATCCTGGCCAATGTGGCAAAATCCCATATCTACTAAAATACAAAAATTAGCTGGGCGTGGTAGCATGCACCTGTAGTCCCAGCTACTGGGGAGGCTGAGGAAGGAGAATTGCCTGAACCCGGGCGGCGGAGGTTGCAGTGAGCCAAGATCGCGCCACTCCACTCCAGCCTGGCGCCTAGCGACAGAGTGAGACTCTGTATCTCTTGCTCTCGCTCGCTCGTGCTCTCTCTCTTTCTCTCTCTCTCTCTCTCTCTATATATATATATAT